TACAATTGCTTTGATATTACATATATAGGTACTACATGTGGACCTCTCTTAGATTTGTTCATTTTGTAATGATATCGTCAATTCTCTAATTTTGGTGAATATTTTTGTCATTTTTGGTAAAAGTGATATTTTCAACTTCTTGTTAAAAACCGCTAGTCCAATTGCTTTGATATTAAATATATAGATGCCACATGTTGACCTTTCTGAGATTTGTTCATTTTGTGATAATATCTTCAATTCTCTAATTTTGGTGAATATTTTTGTCATTTTTGGTAAAAAGTGATATTTTCGACTTCTTGTTAAAAACCACAAGTTTAATTGCTTTGATATTGATTACATGTATATAGATGCTACATGTTGACCTTTCTGAGATTGTTCATTTCGTGATAATATCTTTAATTTTCTAATTTTGGTGAATATTTTTGTCATTTTTGGTAAAAAGTGATATTTTCGACTTCTTGTTAAAAACCACAAGTCCAATTACTTTAATATTACATATATAGGTACTACATGTGGACCACTCTCAAATTTGTTCATTTCATGATGATATCTTTAATTTTCTAATTTTGGTGAATATTTTTGTAATCTTTGGTAAAAAGTGATATTTTCGACTTCTTGTTAAAAACGACAAATCCAATTGCTTTGATATTACATGGATAGGTACTACATGTGGACCTCTCTCAGATTTGTTCATTTCGTGATGATATCTTCAATTCTCTAATTTTGATGAATATTTTTGTCATTTTTGGTAAAAAGTGATATTTTCTTCTTGTAAAAAACCACAATCATTTATGGTGAAAAATGATATTTTTGAATTCTTGTTGAAAACAGCAAGTCCCATTGCATTGATACTATGCATATTGTTCATTTTCTAATGATATCTTCTGTTCTTTAATTGAAATGTGCATTGCAAACAGCGGAGCTATCTCAGCCGAGAGGCTGCTTGTTTATGTACATATCATTTTCTATTATTTTAAGTACTTTGAGGATTTTTGTTATTACAAAAACTTAAAAAAATAAGTAATAAGTATATGAAAACTAAATAATTAAATCCATGAAAAAAAAAAAAAATAAAAAAAGCCCAAACTAGGATCTTAATCAGATTGTAATAGAATAATACAAAGACTTAAATCTCTTATAAATTGTTTTTTTATGCTGGTTTATTTTACAAGTCATGGTAATTTATTTGATTGCTTTGCTTTGCAGGGAATGTCAATTAAACCATTAGTTGACAAGTTGGGAGTAAAGAGAAGTACGAAACACAAACCAAGTATGGGTGAAAAAATATTTACAAGGGTAAGTTCAGAATTATAAAATGAGATTTCAATAATATAAGTCTGCTTTAGTCTGCTAAGTTAACTCACTGGTTAACATTCTATCATTGAATGTGGTGATTTACTCATCAATATTCGAATCGCAGATTAAACAAAAAATCTCCTGCCATTATAAATCTCTCCCTTTTGAAAGAAAGAAAAAAAATGAATGTGGATTATGTTTTATAATGTTTTTTGCAATTTCCAGTTTTTCTTGTGTTTATCTAGTTACTAGATCATGCTATGGCTGGTGTAGAAGATATCACTGGTTCCCATGGACACAATTATTGGAGAGATAGGTAGGATATATGTCACAAAAAACAAACATGCAATATAAGCTATGGTATAGAATTTTCAGTTTCTGATGAATACGCTTTGTGAAAAAATCTGTTGCAACAACCCTTATTGTTACCATTTTATTTACAAAGGGCGGTGATAATTTTGTGAAAAAAAGTAATCATTTTCTCATTCATCCACAGGTGGGAGGAAATTGATCGCAAATATCTTCAACCTCTTTTATTGCGAGAGCTTCCAGAAGCCAAAGACACCCAAATTTTACAAGTTTATACAAATTTAAACATCAAAGATGCCTTAGAATATGTTAAAAGTGCTGGAACTTTTAACTTACAGCATGCGAGTCCTAGCATAGCTAGTTTTCTGCGAAGAAATGCTTCCTCAAATGTCCTTGGAAATTCTTCAGATGGAATGTAAGTGTTGATTATTAGCCACTGAAGGCTAGTGGTTTGAGTACTGTCCGTCCATCTGTTCGTCCGCCCATCTTTCATCGAACTTTGATATGCTCCAATTTATTTCAAATTTGGTGCACCTGTCTGTCTCAATGCCCTACATATTCACACCAAGTATTATTTTTTTATTTTCGCAAGTGAATATAAATCTTGAAATTTTGTGGCAGTATCTTATTGTTGGTGACTTTTGCAAGATTTTGTCTTCTGGAATATGCCATAAAATCCTGAAATTTCAAAAATTTCTGATCAAAACCAGTAGCCAATGAGAAATGCTGTCCATTTTATCCAAAAATTTGAGAAATTATAGAAAAATGCATAAAAATTATCAAAATATTGGTTAATTTTGTGACTGTAATAATCAAGATGTTCAAAAATTAGATTTTGTTTCAGCAACTTTTAACACTGCATTATGGCTGTCACAAATCAGATGCAGTTCAAAATATGCTGCAATTAAGATTTCCTCATATTGATAAATCGTTATTATATTACAAAAAGTTTATCTGACTAATAAATATTTTATATATTGTTCTTTACCTGCTAGCTTACAGCACGGTGTT